CAATGAGTCGGTATTGACTGGATGGCAGCAAGTTTGGGGGCGGGGTGGGGGTGGGGGTGTAGTAGAAAGTATTGGGCTGGTGTGTGTTCTGCTGTGCAGTGTCCCAACAGCAATAGAAGCCAAATAAGTGATGTCAGGGAGGGAGCCTGGCGAAGGAAGCTCGGGAGTCCAAGATACTGAAGGATGGAGCCATGCAGATGGGAAGGTTGAGGGGGGAGGCGGTCTGTCTGGGGCTCACACAGAACCCCACTGCAGCTCTGCCCCCTCCCCAGAGCACAGCGCCTGGCCCGCTGAGTGGGGGCTTGCTCCCTCCTCGGTAGGCCAGAAAGATGGGACAGAGAGAGATTCACCCTCCGTATACACAGAGTCAGAAATGTACCCAGAGGGAAGGAAAAACGGGAGCCAGTTTCATGTCTGCATACATGCACGCCTTGGTGTCCTACAGTTGAAGGCTTGCTTGTCCTTTGACTTCTGGCTTAGGGGTGCTTCCTCTGGCTTCTTCCGGTCAGCATCTGGACCTGCCTCTCTCAGCACAGCTGGACCACCCGAGGTGGCAGTGGAGACAGATCGAAATGCCTTTCTTTTCTGAATCCCAAATCTGACTCCCCTGGTTCGCTCCCGCTCCCTTCTCTGCCCTGGGGAGATCCTGTGGAGACCAGAGGGCAGTGGGCAGGGATTGGACCTGCACCGGTGCCCACAAGTCAGCTTTCATCCCCCTTTCTCCACGATGTAAACCCCTGAAGTGCTCACAGGGCTTCATCAAACGTCCTGGGTGGCCTGGCCAGGAAGAGGAGGTGCCGCCAGGCTGTTCTGGGTCTGAGCCACCAGGGGGTGCCAGGCGCCACCCAAACTTCCCCTGGATCCAGGCCCAGCGTCAGGGAGCTGCCTTCTTTACAAACATCCAAGATACTGCAGCCCTTGCTCCACTGTCCACCCACCCCACCCCACCACAGCCAGTCTGCAGACTAGCCCACTGGGCGTGTCGCCCACCTCTCACCTCAGGGGGTCACTTCAAAGCCTCTGCAGATGTAAACAATTCCCCCCTCCCCATTCCGCCAAACGTCCTTCCCCCTTGAACTCTCATGGCAGGGTTAGCAAAAACCCTCTACAGCCCCAAACCAGCCTCCGGTGATCCTCCAAGCCCTGCTTCCTGTGGGGGAGACACTGGGGCTGAGGTCAGCGTCTCCTTGACAAAAAGAGGGGGTGACTGGCCCAAGGGGACACACAGCCAGTCAGGGGAGGCACTGGGGCGAGAACAGGGGCTCCGTGTCACCTGCCTGTGAAGGAGCTCTCTTCCCACCAGCGGCAGAGGATTTGCTGGTTTTGAAAGAGTCATAGAGGAAGGTGTTTGTACTCTCCTGCAAGCCTGGCCGCTGGCTTGCTGTGTGACCTTGGGGAAGTCCCTGCTCCTCTCTGAGTCTGTAAGTGCGTGCACTGGAGGCCTGTGCATCTCTTTGGCTACCCTGTGACTGGATAGCTGGTGTCCAGGGCCCCTGGGGTCCTCAGCCGAAGGCCAGAAGCTTTGAAAGTGTTGTGTGCTATGGAGCCGATTATGACTGAGCCGCTGGTGGGGTCACCTGGCTCAGCAGTAGCAATAATACTGAGTTAGCATCTGAGCAGTAGCAGCAATACAAGTCCCAAGTCCCAGCTTGGGGCAGTTACGTAATCTACTGGGAAGGGGTGGAGTTTAGCCTGTCCATCAGGTTGCAGCTTGATGACCTCATTTGGAGGCGCCAAGGAGATAAATAGCTTGCTGGAGCTAAGATAACAGGCTCTCTCGCTGGGAGACATTCCTGTTGATAAGCCACATGGAGCTATGCTGATGGCAGCCAGAGCCCTGGAGCTAGAAGAGCCACATGGAAACCCATGCCAGCACCGAGATGCTTCTACTGCCTCTGGATCCCCAAAGTCTTTCCACCCACTGGCCTGTGATAATCCTGCATTCGGCATCATTGTATGTGCTGCATGAGTCCGAAGAGGAATTTATAGACTGGTATCGGGCATATGGGCTAATAGCGGACCTATGGACTTGATCTGGACTGGGCTGGGATGTTTTCTCAATATACAATTACTCTTTGATATAAAGTTCTCTATGAGTGTCTCTGGATTTATTTCTCTAGTCAACCCGGACTGACACACAGCTGGTCCCACCCTCGGGCCTTTCCACGGCTCTGCTGCTTAATGTGACCCTCCGTCCAACCCCAAGGTGGGTGCTATTGGTATCCCCATTTTATGGAGGAGGAAACTGGGGCTCGGGGAAGTGAACAGAATGACTGAGCTAGGATCAGAGGCCAAGGTGACCTGACCTCAAAGGACAGGTTCTTTCTTTCATCATGCCCTGCTCAGAGAAACTTCTGGAAGTCTTTTAGACAGGCAAGCTCTTCCCTAGAAAGTCCGTGGCTTTAAAGTCTTCTGTCCTGCACTGCACCATGGGAAGTTCTTTGGGAAGTAAGCAGTGGGGGGAGGGGAGAATGGGGGGTCGAGGGGGTTGCAGATCAGCAGGTTGCACAGTCCTGGCTCCTGCCCTCCCTGCCCCCTGCAGCCAGCCCCTATCCCAGCCACAGGCAGACACACACAGCAGCTCAGCTGGCCGGGGCCTGGGAACAGATGCGGGTTTATTATTGCACAGAATGCAGCATCTTGAGCTCTCTCCCCAGGGTAGGCCCATTAGCATCCTCTCAAAGCCTTTTCCCCAAAACTTGAATAGAGACTTCAGAGCCAAGTCCTGATGCCACAGCCCAGAAAACTGAACAGGGCCCCCACTACTCCTCCCCCCACCCCACCCCCAGGGAGCCCAGAGGCCAAGCTTCTCTTCACAGAGACGTGGTACAGGACTCCAACCACTGCAGAGCTGGGCTCCGGACCCTGGACACAGTGAGTGTGAAGCTGGAGGAGAAGGGAGACCTGAGTATTGTAGGGCGGGGGGCAGGGGGCGGGGGTGTCCCCGGTGGGGGGAGCTCTGAGGCCATCACACAGTCGGGGGCCCCCAGCATCCAGAGATGCAGAGCCAAGAGGCAGCCCTGTCTGCTCAGATGCCAATGCCAGATGCTGGAGTTACGTTCATTCCTGGACCCCAGGGGCCTGGCCGCCCTTCCTCACTCCTCCTCATGGCATGGGGGACCGGGACTCTACCCACCCACAGGGAGCACAAAGACCCTGACACCCACCCCTGCACCCACCCCCCTCCCCGCGTGAGGTACAAAGCATCATCAGTGAGTGCGTGCAAGCCTGTCTTCCCCACCAAGCAAGCCACACGGACAGCCCAGCCCCCAGTGGGGACATTGTAGCCCCCAGCTGCAGGCAGTCTGTTCCCGGCACCATCAGGGGCCCCCTGGGCCTCCCCCAAGCCCCCAGGGACCATGGCAAAGAATCGAACAAGCCAATCGCAGGCCATTGCAGCAGAGTTCCCCTTAAGTGTCTCCACCCTGAACCCACATGGTGGGGGGCGCAGGGGGACAGTGCCATCCCCATCCAGCCGGTCACACTCAGAATCAGGGCCCATCTTAACTATCCCCTGTCTCCTCCAGCCTGGATAGGGGCTCCCGTGTCCCTGGGTCTCCCCCTTGCACAGCACCTGCCTTGACCTGACTGCTGAGAGAAGCCAGGCTGCCCCAGTTGGCATCAGGGTGCGGGCAGTTGGGACAGTTAGGAGTGGGTCAGCTGAGGGTCTGGGGGTGGTTCCTTGGTGTCACACGGGGTCACATATTCCCTCTGATCTCCTGGGCAGCCTAGGCCCACCGGTCAGAAGCTTGCGGGGAGTGGCTGGAGCGGAGCAGAAGGTGGGCGGGGTTCTCATTCATCCCCCATGTGGTGACTTCTCCCAAAACATGACGCAAAAGCCCGGAAACAGACAAAGAAGTGGATGGGCTGGGGGACAGGAGCAGTGCAGAAAGCTCAAAGGATCAGGGCTCATCTCCTCTGGGCCTTCCTCAGAGTGGGTAGAGAGCTTCCAGAGGGTTCCAGCACATTCTATTCCTCCTGGCACCGTCTGCCGCCCAGCACGGCACAGTGCAAGGCCTCCGTAAACGTCTGTTGTGAGTGCCAGCTGGCCCCCGGAGGTCGGTGTGGAGTTCGGTCCTCCTTGGCCCTCCTGCCTGGCACTGCAGAAAGAGGGGTCCTGGAATCCCCAGCACGCACTCCTGGCTCTGCAGAGAGAAAAGAGGGTCTGGTGAGGGTGGGAGCCCCCCAAGCTCTGCCCAGCAGGCCACAGGCTTCAGGCCTTGGGACTGGCCTTCTCCCTGGGCCTCTGCAGCCTAGCCTCTGCTCTGAGGCTCAGCAAGACCTGAGGCCAGGCCCTGGATTCATGGGAGGGGCCTTGGTGGAGACTGGGGGAGGCATTCCCCAGCATAGGACTCTGGAGGTGGGGAGGGCAGGCCTTTGCCCTGAAGCTGCTTCCCCCTAAGAGCAATGAGAACTCC